ACTCCCCCATACCCCCCCCAATCCCCGAAAGTTTCTCAGCGGATTTGGGCTGTACTCAGCAAGCGCAGTACAGCCCCCAACTCAGATTTGAAAAAATCAGTGGATTTTCTGACTGGTTGGCAGACCGCCGACCGGTCGGCCCTACTGGTCGACCGGTCGGTGGTCAGCAGGTATGCAACCCTGCTCTACACCGAAAAAAGAAAATAACAAATTCCCAAAATCTGAAAAAAAGAATTATCCTTACACTATGCAGAATAATAAACTAAAGAACCTGTACCATAGCACTTCGTTAGTCTGCGCTCAAGATGAGGAAATGACAACCGGTGCGGATGGGCTGGGAGGTGAACCAGGTTTGGGAAGACCTTGACCTTCTTGAAGGACCTCCAGCTGGATTAGATTCTCCTTGGTTCTGTCTTTCCTGGTGGTCCCCCTGGGGGCCTGAGGGGTATTATTGTGGCTGATTTTTGGGTATGCTTTTCTAAGGGGGGCGGGGGCTTATCAGACATGGGGGGGTGACTTGGGAGTTTGTGCTTACTGACAGTCAATCCTTCCTTCAGGGAAGTAATCAATGTTGTCATGGTTCTCTGGGCCGTAACGCGGGGAAGCATTGTGCGGGTGCCGAGGTTTCTTCGCAGGGGCGCTGGACCCGGTTTCCAGCAGGTTTGTCTCAAAGAAGATAAAAACTAAAGAACTCTCTCAGGGTCGCACCAAGGTTTCTTTTTCTTTTTCTTTTTTTGAGGCCGCCGAGGGAAGTGGTCCTGCGCCACTCTGGTAGCCCAGTTTCATGCACAACAAACGATATGATTGTTTGGGTTCTCCTGCTCCAGCAATGTTACCTTTCCTGATCAGGAAGAAGGACATGATAACCTTGTTTCGAACATCCTCCAGATATCTGATAATACCTGCCATTGCAAAGGTCCATAAATTTCCCAGCGTTACTGACTACCTTCTTCCCCCGAATACAATGTACGGTCATTATAGCTGTGTATTAAGACCGAAAGATACCCCAAATACAGCTATAATGCCTGTACGTTGTATTTGGGGGAAGAAGGTAGCACTGAAGGGCCCAGATGAGTTTTCTTTCAGTTGGTGCTTTTCCCTTTTCTTCCCGTTTTCTCTTACTGGTCCTGTCAGAGCGCCTCATTGACAGCACAGCTGAAGTTACTCCACTTTTGATAGAGACCCGGCTAATGATTGTTGTAACTTGTAAGGTTACAACATCGGGATGCAAATTGGAGACGGGAACAACGCCAGAGGATAAACGAAGACCAGAATACCAGATTCTTCTGCATTTATTCCCTTGCTCTCTCTAGCAGGCTGCAAAGGATGTCACACTTCGAGCAAACAAAACTCTGTAGGGGGAAGATAGCGACCATTAAGGGGGCCCTCGCATTCCAATGGAGGACAGCAATAAATGGACAGCTAGCCTTGACGGACACGGAGGCACACCAAGAGATAGCAGCAGACGAGGGGGAGGGGCGCTCAGTCCCCGCTCAGCCTCACAGCACAGATCTCAGTAACGAGTAGGAAGGGGAGGGACAAGGTCTGATGAGAGAAGAGCGGCCGGGAGGAGGAAGTAAACAACTCAGGATGGATCCGGGACCCCAGTCCAACACAAGAAACGGTTTGCAGGAAATTAAGGGATGAATCCGCGGTCAAAAAGTAGGATGTAAGAGGAAAAAAAGTCGCTTACAGAAGGTTTAGGGTTTAGGGTTTAAGAGAGCCAGGGGGTTTAAGTTGCAGGGGGGGAAGAAAAAGCAGGTTTCAGTAGGCCTCGGGTCTAGGGTTCAGAGGGGCAGGGTTCTTAAGCTGTTGTTACAAAGGAGAGGTCAGTGGAAGTGTTTCGGTAGTAGCTCCAGTTCTAGCCTCCTCCAGTTTTCCCTTTCATGGAATTATTATCCAATACTAGATGACCCGTTGAGGCGTCGCCCGCAAAAACAGAAAACTAAAAAGCACAAAAGAAAGAAAAAGCGTAAGGAACTGCCCTATCATATGCCGCTTCTTTCACAAAAACAAAAAGAAGAGCCTGAGAGCAGACAGAAATCCGCGTGCAAGAAATAGAAGGGAATACCACCGAACCTTTTTTGTTTCTTTATCTGCGAGTGTTTTGTTCGGGAAGCCGATACCTTTGCAGCATCGTTTTTTTTTTGTGCTGTGCAAGAACTGTGAACTTTTATGAGAAAGTCCTGTCCGTTGTCCCGTTGACGTTTTTGCTAAAGATTCYGATTCAGACTYTTGTTTSCTATGTTCTCTGAATATGTTTGTGATAAAGCGATCTTGCATGTATGCCCCGTGCTTACTTGCCGAGTTTTGACTCTATGTGTGCAAGTGCATGCGCGTGTGGGTGAGTCTCAGTTTGGTCGGCTCCAAAACTCCATGTGTGCAAGTGCATGCGCGTGTGGGTGACTCTCAGTTTGGTGGGCTCCGATGATGTCATTGATCATTGGCCCGGGGAAGTTGTTGGAAGTCGCCTCCAACTATAGGAGTGCCACTGATGTGAAGCAGGTTTTGCATTGTATGAATGAAACAATCAGCATTCGATCTGCTTGGCAGTTGCTCTTCTCGTGGGGGACTTGTCGGGAGTAGCGTTGACATGGGAGCCATAATGCCGGGCGTTCATTTTGCAACATTTCCTGGAAGGCAAAAGGCAAAGAAGAAACGAAGT